CGTTTAGGGAGGTATGCTGAACCCTATGTTATTGTGTAGAGGTGAAACAGGTACTGATAAACACATAGCAGTTAACCCTTTCCTTTTCTCTTTTTCCGCCTGTGTTAGCCCCCAGTCTGTTACCTTCATGTGCACAAAGCAGCCTTCCTGTGTGCACTTTCCTGTGTGCTCGAATGAATCTCGGTATACGGTGTGCCAGTTCAGCTAGCTCATAGCATCATTTAGCTGTTTACAGTCATCAGATAAATAATAATAATAGATATCATTTGTATAGCGCTAATCCCCGCTCAACAGCTAGCTCTATGCGATTCGCAATCTATACTGTTAACCCAGCGGACCTGAGATCATTCTGAAACAAACTCAACTTCCTGGGAAGCATACAGTGCTAGCAGCCATTTATAGGCACTAAAACACTAACATACTGACAAGATCTTTCGCTGTCTGTGGCCGGGTACCCTTTTCCTCTTGGGTGAAGTGAGGAAAGTTCGTGTAAAGTGCCTTTCCCAAGGACAAAACGTCAGACCCACGGCTGGAACCCCCGACCCCGCAACCTCACGATTACAAGACCGGTAGCCTAACCACTGGACCACCGACGCCACAAAATCTACAAAACCTCAGCAAATCCTTCTTGTGTATGACCAAACTGTACGTCGAGAGGATTCATTTTTATTCAGCTTTATGTTGATTTTATGCACACAGTTTAAGTCAGTTCTGAGTTATCGAGTAGTTTGTGATGCTGAAAAACTGGATGACAAAGGTGTTTGCAGACATACTTGGGAAGAGCTATCAGAAATAAAATACAGTAAATTGTCTCCGCTGACATTTGCTCTGACGCTATTTCCCCTCCTGAAATGAAAAACAAGGCTGCAGCTCGATGTAGCCTACCTGTTTTTATCTTATTCAGGCTTATGACTGGATTGAGGCAATCATTTGTAGCTGGAACAGTGGTACAGTGTTTTTGACCGACGTCAGCGCCACATTATTTGCCCAGCTGATTTTAACTTTGTTGGAAAAGAAAGGGTTAATATGTTCAGAGATATATGCTGTACTGTATTGGTTTTTTAAACCGGTTTTGATGAATGTAGAAGGCATGTATGAAGTACAGTCAATTTTTTTGTCTGATGTTTTTGCATTTATTGTACTGTCCGAACTGTGTCATCTACAATATTGGGAAGTCATTTTTCAAAGAGAAGCTTTTTGTATTATTAACTTATGTAAGAACTGCTATCGGTTGAATTTTTCCATTGTTTTTGTTGGATAATCTATATTTGATGACGAAAAAGATTGGGAAAATTATTGCGGCATTCTTGTCAGGAAAGAAATGCGTAGACCTGCTGTTGAGATACACTCAGCCCGAAATTTTTATTTTTTATTTTTTATGCAGATTACACTGTGCTCAATAAATATTGTGTTGAAATTCAAATCATAAATGTTGAAGGGAAAAAAAGCAAAAAGGATACATACTATTGGTACAATTTTTTTTCAAATGAAATAGTTATTTCTCTCCTGAAAAATTTTGCATTCTGGGCAAAAAAAGATCTAACAGCTTTTGTTCGTTTTTATCTATGATCTGTTAGTACAGAGATCCCAAAATGTGGAAAGAAAATCTGTGACAGGTGAACTTGACTACAATAATTTATTCATTACACCTGCAGCAAAATAAATATAAGGCATGAATGTATTACTTTGCAGAGGAATCCTTTTTTTGGTCAGCACATTTAATTAGTAGGCCTACTAGTACAATTAATGTTGAGTCATCCCTCTCATCTCCTTCAACAGTTGCCTAGTGAGTTCGAACTACTATTGTTTTATTAGCATGAAGGAATATGCATTTACATACTTATCTTATTGAAGTTAAATAAGAGGAGCTTTTGATTTTTTCAATTAAAGATTATGACTACTGCCGCACAGGAACGCAGCTTAACTGTTTGCGGACGTGCATTCTGTTCATTCGAACGCTTGAAGACACAATGTTTCGGAATACTAAAAGAAGCAAAACTTTGTTATTCATTCAGAGTTTTCAATTCTGTTTCCTTTATTTGGTAATTAAAAAGACAGATAACAATAATGTATACTATGATATACGCACTTTTTTTTTTCTAGACAGTGGGATGGTTCGAAATATCCCGCAACTTTGATTTTGAACTGCTGCTGTCGGACGTATGTGTCCGCTTCGTCCTTAATGAGTTAAAAGCTGAGACCCTAATGTGAAGAAATAAAGACTGCAGTTGACTCTGCTGGAGTTTGTGGTGTAGCTGTCTGGCTTTTCGCCTTCACACACACACACACACACAGAGGACATGTCTATATTCTTTTGTGGGGATCATTTTTGTCAAGTACATTGGATCTCTATTTTTCTGCTTTGATGTTTTATCCATCTTAGCGTGGGTCGGCCCAGACATGCTGTGTCGAAGCAGTCTGCTCATCATAAATGATCTAAATAGAATCAATGGGTATGTGAAATTTCTGCGAATTACACTTTACAAATAAATAGGCTTACATTAAGACGGCTGACTCTACTGCTCAATTAAACAGAAAGAAAATGTTTTGGGCAGTTAAAGAATAACCTTGAAATGATTGTATTGGCGTTCATTTTGTTTGCATAGGTGGGTGGATCAGTACATCAGATCTGTACACATTTTTTTAAAAATTGACATTCAGTTCATTCTCGTTCAGGCATTTTAAAGTCATTTAATATATTGAAATTATGATATTCCTCAATCTTACTTATATAGACCCAAGCCCAGTCATACTGACTTTTGGCTTAATCAAACATTGTATGTTATAATTAGGTTTTTAGTTGTTATTAGTATTAGGAAGGGGTTTTTTTTGTGTTTTTTTGGTTTTTTTGGAGGGGTTACATTTGCCATTGTTTTCACCACCTCCCTGACCCCCTCCTCACTATTCCCATTCCCCACTCACTGCTCTCCCTCCCCAACTGCCTGACGACCCGGTTTTGCACGCACTTACAACCCTCCTCCCCCCCCCCCAACCCCCCCAATCTTTTTTTGTGTTTCTGTCTTATAATATACAGCATACAAATGTGGATGCCCTTGATTTCTGAACAAATTAACGATATAAGTTTTATATTTTGAAAGACTGATTGTCATTGCGCATTTTTTAGTTGAAGAGAATAATTCTGTTTATTAAGATCAGTGGTTTTTCGGTGGGTTTTTTTGCTGAATTTGATTCATGTACATTTAATGTGAAGAAATGATTTATAACATAAACAAATTGCCGCACATATTTATGGTTTGAATGATTTTATTTGAGACTTTTCTACAACTAACTACAAAATCTTACATCAATTTTTTAGCGTTCATTTACATTTTTGTTTCTTTCTCGCTCATGGTATTGATGTGTTTCTCTTTTTAAAATGATGTTGAAGGTGTGAAATAAATTTTGCTCAAAAAGAAGATAATAATGAATTGGGTTTTTTAAGTGAGAGAGTGGGGAGCTGTTGTTTTTTTGGGGGGATGGCTACAGTAACTTCCCCATCTGGGAATTGACTTCTTCTCTTCTGCCTGCAATGATGAAATGCCTAACCATTACACTACAAATGCAGGGGTGTCAATGTGAAGTGAGTGTGTGTGTTTGTGTGTGTGTGTATGTGTGTCACAGTGTGTGTGTGTATGTGTTATGAGAAATAGATGGTAAAAGAGGTAGGGACAGACGAAGAATAACTTACTGAGAGAACTTGAAATAGTATAGGTTTAACGCCCCTTTCAACACTTTTAGGTTATTTAAGAGTCGGGACCTCCTCTGAGTTAAAAGTCCATTACCAGGGGGATCGAACCAAATGGGAAATTTGTGTAAAGTGCCTTTCCCAAGGACACAACGTCAGACGGAGCTGAGGCTAGAACCCCCGCACCCTCAATCTCACGATTACGAGTCCGATAGCCTAACCACTAGGCTACCTACGCTACTGAGAGAACCTGAACATTAAATAGTTGAGAGGAAAAGAAGAGAAAGGATTAGTGAACTGTGATCAGGATGTTTAGTTCTGATTTTGCGATAGAAGAAGTCTTCAAGAAGAAGACAATGCAACCAAGACAGATGTACTGAAAAGGCCAGAAGCTGCCATATATGAAATTGACTCATCGCTACCTCAGTTCTATCTGACAATTTTTACCATTTGAGTTACTAAGACCATGAGTTCAGAAATAAAATGCTCTATCTGCTCTATCAAAATCTTATGGTTATTCTGAGTCGTTATCCAGCTATTCAAAGAATTGCATTTTAAAAAAGCTTGAAGTATTGGGAAACTTAAATTTTTCATATCAGATTTCTCAAAACTAGGTAGCTCTACTGAGCGGATAGAACTTTGTAATTTTAGGGTAGCGTCATGTCATGGCAAGGACACTTTCTCGCCTGGAAGATACTGGTATTTGAAAACAACCTTTCTGAATAATTAAACAGACGATGTAAGACTGTTGTTCGTGGTGTAGGATATCTGAGTTCGATTCCCAAGCAGGTGGTTGGAGGGCACCACTGGTAGGTCTTACTTCTTTACTTTCCCTCTGCTGTATTCTGTCTGTCTGTCTTACTTTTTCCTTGCATTAAATTGCCATGACTGTCAATGTACATTGTATTTCTCTTTACCCAAACAAACAAACATTGATTCCCAAGTGGAGCGAATTTTTATTGAGTGTCTCAGTCTTTCTGCTAGGATTGTATCCCTCTCAGCCCAGGTTAACCCTGACAGGCAGGGTCAAAGGTCGCCTCCTAAATGATCTAGATTGTGTCAACGCGAGGGCCTAAAAACACCTCATGAGATTCAGGATGCAACAGAGAGAAAAGCATTGATCATTTATTCCTTGCACTCATTGTAGTTGACAAATACATGTACAATGCAGGGCCTAAATTTTTCCTTAAAATAGTCGTTTCATGAGACGGAACAGAGCCAACAATTAGATCTAGTAACTACAAGAGAAAGGCGAACACTTAGTAATCTCTCTTTTACGCAGCAGAGCCCGATATGATGACCTTTGAGTACATCCGGGGCGTGAACTCTGGGTGTAAAAGTGGTCAACAAAACATGATCTGCTCTAGTGCTCTACGCAGCCTTCATTGTTCTCTGGCAGGTCGGATTCCATTGCAAGTTATACAGCAACAGTGACAGTTGATCGATCCTCACTCGAAGCCAGACTAGATCTAGATCTACTTGAGGATTAGGAAACGAAGCTGAATTGTGGAACGGTACATCAGTTGATTCTGTAGATTCGTTTGGAATTTAGAAATCACGCCTAACGACAAGTCACAAGTTGACTTCTCCAGAGCAACTGTCAACAACAAAACAAATCAATGAAAATTATTGAAAAGGAGTTGACAGTACAGTGTTGTCTTCACAAGTAGGCTAGATCTAGATTCTAGTCTGCCAAATCTACAGAAGCTTCCCTTTGGTCTATAATCTAAAGGACGTGGATAGTCAGATTCTTCAGACCTGTCTTCTTGAGTCCTGAACTAAGATCTGTTGTTGACTGTTGGACTTTTTCTGAGTGGGGCACAAAAAGTAAGTCCATAAAAAGGCATAAGCTCTTTTAAAATTATTGACCTTTGAATTGAGTAGCCTAGATCTGCACTTTGCCCACCTGGCTGTGTAAACATTGTCAAGATCATCTGCATTGAATAAACAATTGTCTGTGTCGCGTAAACCTGGCCTGTCTAAAAACTAGATCTAGAATCATGAAAAGGCTACTTACTGTAACAAACAGTGAGTCATGAGGCCATTCTTTTTCTTTTTCTTGGCAGATGACTGAGAAGAGGGCAGAGGAGAGGAGTTGCGTGGTGTATTGTTACATATAATTAGATCTAAATCTAGTTTCTGTTCTTTGTGATTCGTGACTGTTGAATGGAGTGACTAGAATAGATATCTATGATTAATGGTTGTGGCCTGCTACTGCAACTAAAACTTTGGTAATTTTATAGAATCACTCCCGCCTCATAACAGATGTTATTTTGTAGCTTTTCACGGGTTTTATAGTGCCCTGAACATGAATTTGGCTTTATAAAATGTCGCAAATGGTTAGTTTCAGGGCCTGACATCCAACAATAGAGCCAGATCAACAAAGTTTTTAGGTATAGATGAAAGGTGTGATTGGCAAGACCATATGAATATTATATAGTTCTGTTAAAAATAATTTAACTAATTTAATAGAAGTGTACGGTACTGCGAATTTGCTTGAAGCTAGATCCTTACTTTCAAACATAAAATAAAGCCTTAAAATTAACTCTTTACCAGACATTGTTTTTGCCTTAGTTAAACTATTGTTCAACTGGATCAGTTTGGACGAAGATTTAATTTACGTTAATAATTTGTATTTTTTACTTCAAAAAAAGTTTTAGGCTGATCCTCCAAAACTCTTACTAGATCTAGTGTTATAAACAATTTTGGAGAGATATATATATATATTATAAGCAAAGTCATTTCGTCACGAGATGACCGTGTGACAAAATGACTGGTTACCACTACAAAAGCATGCTAAACATAATATAAACCAAAAAAAAGCCAAAGTGGCATGGATAGCAGCCACAAGACGGGGGTGATTCTATAAAAGTACCAACACTTCGGTGTTTCAAAACTACTTTCAGTAGGTCTATGATAATGTTAATATTTAATGTATAATTATATTAATATTATGCAAGCCTTTGCCAATAGGTGGGTACACCTAAAATGTAGACAGAGGGTTGATGATGATAAAGTTTTTAATATTTCGTTTTTATTTAAATTTTTTTATCCATGTGTCTCCTCTTACAAAAACATGATGTATTTACAGACCTTCAGATGGCATGCTAAGCTGTGTAACTGGTATTATAAAATATCAAGTCAAACTCTTTCGGACATAACTATGATGACACATTTTTTTAGAATTTGAACTAAAAATTATTTTATAGTCTTCTTTTATTGCTTTAATGAGGTAGCGTAAACACGGCCTCGCGGGCACTCGCGGCCTTCCGACCGCATGGTATCGGTGAAATCGGGGTAATTCCGATTGCTGTTTCTTTGCTCTTTCTCTATAAAACACCAAATGCCGTACACCTTGAAAAAATTCAGCTTTTCCTCGTTACATTGGTGTAAGTTGTTTATATGTCCAATTATTAGGAGCTGGAGAATCGCCCACGAAAGCGAAGCCCCTCGCAGTCGGAATGCGTGGTCGGCCGGTTAAAAAATTGACACGCATGCCTTCAAATGTTTCGCGGAACGAGGGATGATTAAATACCGTCTTTTCATTTGCGGAGAACTGTAGAGCTTTCAATGGGCTTTCGCGTGGTATATATATTTGGCCTTTAGTGCTTAAATAGAAAGCTTTTAAAAATACTGTCAAAATGTTTAAAGATCACTTTTTACCCAAAATATGTAAAATACCGGCTTAAAAAAGGTATTCATTAAAAGATAGTTTATTTCCTCCTATTAGAATAAAGTAATCGGCTTGGAATTATTTTTTATCAATCCTTTCGCGAGACTCGGAAAGCATGTGACCCCGCACGCGGGGTACACTACAGTATAGAGCCGACTCGCTCGCCGCGGGGGCCAGTGCGGCGCCGGCCGGGTCAACGCTCGGTGTTTTTGTCGAAATAACTACAGATCATCGTGGTTTTGGCGATAAAATACTGATTTGAAATGATCTCAGTCTTGAAAAAAATTAGGCTCCATATATTTGTTACAGTGATTGTACTCTGTTAATATGGAGATGTTTAGTGCACTTGGTACTCTTTTATTGTCTGTCAAACATGGGGTTGCAGCCAGTGACTGACTTAAACAAATTTGATCAAATTTTAAACAACTACCATTTCCTTAAAAATTGACTGAGAGGTTAAAGAACGGTACCAAAATGCTCAGTGGATATAGGCCTTTCAAATGGAACAGATAAATTTGGCATACAGCTACTTTGAAAATTTAGTTTCTGGTACCTACTTTAATTTTCAAAAATTAGCATGAAGAGCATATATATTAAATAGTGAGGTTCATACAAAAGAGAAATTCTGAATGTCCTGGTGTTTGCATTTTTGTGTCATCATAGTAATGAGTAGGCCTAATGTCCGAGAGAAATGAAAAACTTTCCATTTTCATATCTTAATTTCTCCTTTGAAAATGTTGGCAAACAAAGATCAGGAAGATGCAGTTTGTCTCACAATGCATTTTAATGATGAAAAAATGCCACTTTATTCACATTTTACTTTGAATTTCTGCAAAATATAAAATATCTTTCAAACATAACCATGGTAACAAGATGAAAAATACTCTGAAAAGTAAGTTATAAAATCATTTTTAATAGTTTTCTCATTGCTTCAATTTTCAAACATAAGTATGAAGAGCATATAGAATAGTGAGTATCACAGAAGACAGATATTCTGAATGTCATATTATCATATCTTAATTTCTTTTTTGAAAATTCTGGCAAACAAAGATTCAGGATACTCAGTTTGACTCATAATGCTGCATGCTAATGATGAAGAAAATTTCCACTTTATTCACATTTTTTACTATGACTCTATGCAAAATACCTAATATCTTTTGAACATAATCTACCATTACTTAACCTTTGGAATGCAGTGCGATATTAATCATAGCTTGGTTTAAATTTGTTTAAATGGGGGGAAACATTTTTCGGACGTAACAGCTTTTTTTCAAATGTAACATGTTAAGATTTGATGATGCCATAAGAAAACTTAGATGAATTTGTTTCATCCATCGTTGTTTTTCTCGTCTTGCATCGCACAACAATACGCTTTGACAGAATTGACAGGAACAATACGTGTTTCCCCACCCGAATTATTTCTCGAATTGGTTCTCTCGAGCATAAAAAATGATGACAGAGCACGAGGCGTTGCGGGATTTCCGTTTACTGCAAAATTACGCACTGTCACAGCCTCGGAATCAGTCAGGGCAGAGAGTAAACATTGAATGATACTATGCTTGTTCCAGGGCCCCAAAATGGCAGATAGAAACAAAGTCACTAGGAATCAAAATTTCCTTGCGAAATGATGCCACAAGTTTCATGCTCGAAAATGAAAATCTAGAAGGCTCATAAATAAAAAAACAGCTACAGGTATCTTTATTCCTGATATAGCACCACAAATAAATATGATGTAGTTATAGTTGTGGAAGTGTAGAAAGACGAGTTTCTCAGCAATTATTTTATTGTTGAACTTGTCGGAAAAAAAAGTACGAACTCAACGCATCATGTTTTGCCTTCTAAAAATACTTTGATTTCAGAACAAAAAATATTTGTAGATTTTTTCTAATAGCCCGACTGCTATTTTTCAGCTCCCATAGCTGTAACATCATATTTAGTTCAACATACACAAATTTCAAAGCTGTAGCACCATTTTTACTGGAATAGGAAATGACTTTGTAAGGTATATATATATATATTTGAAGAATCCCCCACCTATTGGCAAAGGCTCATATATATGACTTGACATTTTTACTAAAATTTTAAACGAAAAAGCTTAGATAAGTCTACACAGCGAAATCATTGGTACAGTGGAACTCTGATTCATCGAAAACTTGGATTCAAATAAAGGATATGGATTCCCTTTTATTTTTTAAATTCATTATAAATCTATAAAAAAATAACTTGGTTTCAATGAACACATTACAATAGTCTCCGCCAAGGATCCCAGTGCTTGGGAGAAAGGAAAAATGCGGGATCTTAGGGGAACGGGATCTAAGCCGATGTACCAAAAATGGGAGAGTCCATGGTGACTTGTTTTCAGGCCCACAGTCAATAAAATGGTCCACCATTACTCTGAAATGAGCTGACGTGACCTCTGGATGGGCTTAGGACTTGAATAGTGAACAAAGAGTGGTCATCTTGACGACCTATCACAATCATAATGGCACAAGACATGCCATTGGCACTTATCTTGTGTGTGCGCTTACAGTATTGCTACTCCCTTTTACCTGTCCAAAATTTATAGCTTTTCATCTCTGACCGAGTTTCCCCTGCATCTGTCCTAACACACAGTGTTGTGACTGCACCACGGGATCTTAAACAAACTGGGAATGTAAGCAGTGGTATCTAGACCACTGCCTATAAATGAGCGAGCTCGGATTCAGTGATTCACCGAAGTCGCTTGCAGGGTGAACAGCCCCTGATGACTTGGCTTCGCTTCATTCTTCTCCCGCAACAAACTTCATCTATTCCTGGGAACCATTGATGGCATCTGCATCGTGAACCATTATTCGCTTAGCCTGTTTATATCTTATCAATCAGCAGCCTTCTTTCACACCAACACATGCACTGTTGGCACACACACTTGTCTTCGTGTGTGTAGGGGTCAGATGGACAGCCAGCGCACGTGTGACTGTGTGTGTGTGTGTGCGGGCGCATGTGGCTTGGGGGGGGGGGGGGGGGGCACAAATGGTCCAGGCATGGAACGTCAGTAGTCAGTAGAAATACAAATGCATCTCAGTACCCATAGTCATTTTTTCCCCCCAAGGTACTATCAATATTACAAAAATAAGCTAGTCTTGAGATCGATATATACGTAATGAATTGCACAATGGCCTGTGGAATCAAACATTGGGATATGCTAGGCTATACACAGCAAAACAATTTGTTCACCAAACAATACGTCATAGATGATAGTGACGCAGGTGTTCTTTTGAACCAATCAGACCTTTCGGGCAGTGTTTGCGTGGTGGAGTTCAGTCATTTTTTTCCGAGAATTTTCCAGAATTTCTTTGGTATGGCATCGAAGAAGCAGAAATGCCCTCTGATTTGAATCCAGACTACTTTTGATTGAGGAAGTCGAATATATTATCTACATTACTTGCTCGATGTATGTTATTATCTGCACAAAAACCTCATGTTTGCTATAACGAACCCTTGGATTCAGTTAAATTGAAGCTCTGACCCGACAACTTCTTTGAATCCGAGTTCCACTGTATATGAGTCGGTCATTTGGTTCCCTCAAGTGGGAGGATAATACTTATAATGTATAACAGGTAATTCTGAGTCATACTTCAGGTTATAAAGTGATAGATAATCATATTGATAGTCTAAAGAAATTAAATTTGAGAACTGGATTGATCATCAGAGTAGTACCAATATTTTAACCAGTTTTTAATATGGTGCCTCTCTGTATGGGTTTTATTGGTTAGATTTGTTTTTCTTATTGTGAGATTGTTTTGTATTCCTTTCAAACCATTATAGTTAAATTCTATATATTGTGGGTGTAGGTGTGCATTATCTATTATAAGGCTCTCCCTTTTTTGCCAGACCACTCTAGGACTACATCATTAATTTTCAGCCAAATGGAAGTCAGATTGTAACTCAACTATAAGCACCCTCACAAATTGTCTTTATTTATGAAAAATAGTCTAATTTCCAAAACTTTTTTTCCCCTGTTTTGAAAAAAGGCCTGGGAGTACAGGGAGTATAAATATTGAGTTTGGTATTGCTGATGATGAGGTCTTATTCTTATTCTGTTCCTCCATAGCTCAAACAAACGTCAGAATGAAGAATTTGGTTCCTGTTGCTGCATTTTGCTTTGTGGTCCTGTTTTCTGCAGAGCTTGTGAGGTAAGATATATATATATGTGTGTGTTTGCAGAGTTGTTTTTTTAAAGAGCACTCGATGTCTGATAATGGGTCGCATCTATACGGCACATTTTTACACTGCGAATACTCAGTGCACTCTACCGCAAAGTTTACATGAAGGAACAAATACATTTGTTATAAAAATCTGAAAATTAGTAGTGAATGTGGTCTCTCTCTCTCTCTCTCTCTCTCTCTCTCTCTCTCTCTCTCTCTCTCTCTCTCTCTCTCTCTCTCTCTCTCTCTCCCTCCCTCCCTCCCTCCCTCCCTCCCTCCCTCCCTCCCTCCCTCCCTCCCTCCCTCCCTCCCTTCCCCAATGTTGTGAGTTGTGAGCAGAAAAGTGAATGTGTATCTCTGTGAGTGTGTATAGAGCAATCATGGAAGATGTAAGGGAGGAGGAAGAAAAGGGAGGATTTAAGTTGTGGAGATTGTTATTTGATCTTTGAATCATAAAGATTACTGCAGGTGCATGTTTGAATGTTAAGTGCAGACTTTGATTTTGCTGTCCACTATGTTTGGTCATCCTCAGAAATGTTGAAGCATCCAAACTATTTATAGTTGTCTAAGAATTTTGACTTTTTGAATTTGTTGTTGACTGCCTCTGCCTCTTCTTCTATCACTCTTTCCGGGGTTGGAAAAGATATTCAAGTTGGCGGTTGGTGGGTGCTCTGGTATGGTTTGCTCCTTCTTTCCCATCAAACATCTATCATCCTCATATCTCCTCCTTCTTTTCTATGTATACTTCTCTCTATTAACATCTGTAATCTTTGGCACGTATGACTTACTTGTGTTGCAAATGCCGTAAAAAAAGTCACTTTAAAACTGAACTAAAGAGACATTAATTTACTCTTTGTGATAGCATATGTGTCCCAATGTTCATTTTTTAATCATTTTTATTGGGCATTAATGTAGGTGAACTTCAATCTGCACGGGCACATTTAGTTGGGTGGGTTTTTTTCAAACTCTGTCCCATGAAATTCAGCTCATAAGCCACACACAGTTGACATATATTGTTTTGTTTGTTTTCTTTCAGCTCAAGATGGTGCACTAGGCTGAAATCAGAGACATCTGTGAAGACTTTTGTAGAGTCAGCAATGTGTAATGAGTCATATGAAGTTGACTGTGGATGGTTTGCGAGCACAAAGTGTGTTCAGTATGAGTAAGTACAGTAAAAACTGTTTTTTTTTAAGTTTCATAAATGGTGGCTGCATGTGGCAAAGCTTGTTATTGCAGGGTGTTTTTTAAAGCTCAATTTGTTTGGGGTTTATTTTTCATATTTTTATTTGTCAAAGTGAAAATTCAGTACAACTGTTGTTAACGTGCCTGGCGCCTCTTAATTCTTGACTAAAATATAAGTAGGCCTACTGGTATCCAAGGTTTATGACTTACAGTGATGCTGTTTTTACGCCTTTTTTTTTTTGCTTTTTTTTTGCTTTGAAGAGTATATGATATTGTCCTGGTCTTTCCCCATAACACATCTCTATCTCCCAAGTTCTGTTAGCAAGTTATTTTAGTCTCCCTCTGCCTCTTTTATCTTCTATTTTTTCAGTCAGAGCAAGATATTCAAAGCCTTTATGCGGGCCCAAGTGTCCCAGAAACTACTACATTTTTCTCTTCCTGATTGTTTTTATTAGCGATGGTCCCATGCAGGATTCTTTCAACACAGCTTCATTGGATATCTTTTCCTTCCACTAACTAAATAAGAAAGAAAAAAATGGGGGGGGCTCTCATGGTTTAAAGGTATGGTGTTCGCCTCTCATTCAATAGGATTTGGGTCCGAAACCTGACAGTAATGGAAAATTTTCTTCTCTAAAACATTCTGCCCTTTCCTCTCTCTTGCTCTCTAATCATATTTAGTCGTTTGCTTTCATCTTCACTTTCTGACCCCTCTTTTAGGGCCCCCCTCCCTCTTTGCCCCCTTCTCTGGGCTCCTGACTCTTTCAGCAGCCTTTTTTCTGCTACTCAATGGCTCCTTATTACTGCTGTCTTTGAGCCACACCCCTGATCTTAGGTTAGGTAAGATCTGACACCTAGCCTTTTTGGGAAAGAGAAAAAAAATCTCTGAGGTCCCGTGTATAAATTGCACTCTATTAAAGATCCCTTGGTGGTTATAAAATCGATAAGAGCAGGCATCGGTCATCACCCGCACAAAATTCCAAATTAATTTCTACCAAACTGAAAAATACTTAATGTGTCCTGCTCACTCGTAAGACTTCATGCAGTTGGGGGTGCCATAAAACGCTTGCTAAAAACAAAAATTTTCTTTTTTCCCCCCCACAGTTCCGTTCCATGCTTGGTGAAAAAGAATCGCACAATAATCAGGTACAAGATTATTGAGGAATGCTGTAAAGGTTACGAGCTGGACCCCATCAACAATATCACTTGCATATGGATACATGGTGAGTTGTATTTTTTTGTAATAATAATAAAATAATAATAGATAGCATTTGTATAACGCATATCCCCGCTCAGCAGCAGGCTCTATGCGCTTTACACTATATTATTACCCCAGGGACCATAGAACACTCCGAAACATTCTCAGCTTCCCGGGAAGCATACAGTGCGAGCAGCCGATTAAGCGCTCAAACACTAACAAACTGACAAGATCTTTCGCTGTCTATAGCCAGGTACCCATTCCCACCTGGGTGAAGTGAGGAAAATTCGTGTAAAGTGCCTTTCCCAAGGACACAACGTCGGGCCCTTGACAGGATTCGAACCCACGACCTTACGGTTGCGAGTCTGAGAGCCTAACCACTAGGCCACCGACGCCACTTGTAGTCAGCTGCTTATGTTTTTATGGTACCCGATACTTGAAATTCTGTATGAGTATAGTCCCACAGTTCTGTTTACCTGAAACCAGAGGAATACTAGACGTTTGTGCTTTTGATTTCAGGAGAGAGTAATCTGCAGCGGTATGAAATTCTGTCTTTCCTTGTTGGTGAAACTACAGTCTTCGTGCTCTAACGGTCATTTGTCCAAGGTCACCTGTCCGAGACATTCACATATCGAACGATCATTTCCCCCACTCCCATGTGTTTTTTTTAAATATTATAATGACACTATCCTAGGTTTCTACCTATCTAAGACAATCACTTTTCACCTAGACAACGAGTAGCTGTCTCTGTCTTTCTGTTGGGATGTTGTATCCCTCTTGGCCCAGGCTGGCTCTGATAAGCAAGGCCCGAAGCCCGCCTTCTAAATGATCTAAATTGTGTGGATGTGGGCATTTGTAAGTGCCCAAACTTAAGTAAGACCTAAAAATGTCCTCATTTTCTACACTAACTTCCTTCCAATCTGAGTGCTATTTCACCATTTCTTCCATTGGTACTATTTAGCTTTATCATCGCACAGAATAATTATGATAGAATGTTCCTGAGTAAATTTGGTTTCACTGCAATATTCAGTCACGCTTTTGAAGTAGTGAGTCAAAGGTTTGATTATACTGTGAAATAAAATACTTTTTTCTCTCATCTGTGTCTATGACATGAATATCTTTTTAAAGAGATTCACAATTACGGTCGACAGTATTCTTATTTGCAAGAATGTTTGATTTTTATTTGAATCAGAAATTGCTAGTGAGGAAGACAAAGCAACACCATAGGGAATGTGTGCCGAAATCCTGAGGGAACAGACTATACTTTGAGAGGGTGTGGGGGTTGTGCATGGAAGAATATACTCTCAAAGTTGTCTGAGGCGACTACCCATTGTCCAGGAGAAAAGTGGATGTCTTTGACGGGTAGATGTCTTAAACTGTATCATTATACATGTAATGTGACACAAAAATACAGGGGGGGGGGGGCAGCTGTTTGTACAGTTGTTTGTCATATAAAAATGGCCGTAAGAGCAGGTCTGACTGTAGTATGATATTGTATAAAGCTATTTTAAACCCAGTATTTCGTTTAACAGTTTGTCTGTATCATTCTGGACAATGGATGAGCGCATTCTTTTTTATAATTGCCATTGTTTTCTTGCAGATTTATATCCAACATAACTATATGATAATATGTGTGCATAAACCCCGCCCCTTGGTAACGTCTGATTGAAATATGTTTTTATTTGTTTTACAATTGCCGTTTTTTCTTTGCTGAATTAGGTCTGACTTGACTACATAGTATATTATGTTCAAAGCCAACCCTTTGTGTTACATTATCATTCTGTTTACACTGGTTTTCATTTGTCTGCCCTTTTTTGTTTTTTTCTTCTTTTTTTCCTTTTTTTTTTTTTTAAAATATGGGCCATTCCATAAAGAATGAAACTAGTGGCATGCATAACTTGGTTTACCGTGGCCAGTTTAAAAAAATAATTTTAAACAGTGATAGAACCATGGTGGGGGGGGGGGGTTCTTTTTTTTTCCCTTTTTTTTGTTGGGTGTGTTAGGGGACGGTTGCCTCTAACAAGGAAAAAAAAAGAAGAATTATTCTGTGACTGCTGAGAATTTTTTTACAGCAGATGATCAACTCTTCGCTGTGTGTGTCACTGCTGTTTCATTCTCCATGGAATGTTCCATTTATGTGTTGTCAAATGAAAATATATGCTTTTTGTATAGCTCAAATTCCTGCTCAACAGCTAGCTCTATGTGCATTACAATCTATATTATTATCACCCCAGCAATCCTGATAGCGTTCTGAAACAATCTCAACTTCCTGGGAAGCATACAGTGCAAACTGCCTTTTTATACGTGCTAAAACACTAATGACTGACAAGATATTGAAGTACTGTTTGTGAAGGATAGGATGTCAAATTTCTCACGTCTGTTTGTTGCAGGGGAAATGGCGAGAATAAGTAAGCCATGTTTTACTGTTGATTTGGTTGCTTAATTTGCAATGTCGCATTGATTTGATAAGTTTGTTTGCAATTCCATACTGATTTGATTGGTTTATTTGCAATGTTGCATTGCATTGATTTGTGGAGTGTATTCGCAATCCCATACTGATTTGATTAGTTTATTTGCAGTTTTGCATTAATTGGTTTGATGAGTCTATTATTAGCAATTCCACATTAGTTTGATTGATTGATTTGCAATCTTGCATTGATTTGATAAGTCCATTAGCAGTTCCACATTTGTTTGATTGGTTTACTTGCAAACTCACATTAATTTGATTAGTGTATTAAGTAGTCTCAGTGCTTGGGTTGTGTGGTGGAGATTGCCGTGTGGATTAATCTTTGCACAAAGAAAATGCGCTGAATAACTTGTGATATCCCTCGTACTCACAGTTACAGGTGAAAACTCTTGGACTTAAACTAAAATACATTTTGTGTACTCAGCATTTTTGTACATGTGCTAGTGTGGAATAATATTATATTGTAATGTCAGACTGCTGAGAGAGATATCCTTTCACTATAGTATTGTGGTGTTGGTAAGTGATCTGTGTGTGGAGAGAGAAAGAGAGAGAGAGAGCCAGAGAGAGAGAAGAAAGAGAGAGAGAGGTAGGGAGAAGGAGAAAGGCAATGGGAGATTGAAAAAGATAGAGATAGAGAGAAAGGAAAATGGGGAGCGAAGGATATAGGTAGTGAAAGAGGTTGGGAGAAAGAGGAAGGCAGAGAATGAGGGGGGGGGAGGAGAGAGAGAGAGAGAGAGAGAGAGAGAGAGAGAGAGAGAGAGAGAGAGAGAGAGAAGAAAAATGGTATGAGTTTAACGCCCCTATTAGGTTATTTAAGGGGCGGGATCTCCTAGTTTCGCGTCCGTCTCCGATAGGACCGAGCCAAATGGGAAGTTCGTGTAAAGTGCCTTTCCCAAGGACACAACGTCGGACCGAGCTGAGGCTCGAACCATCCCCAAACCCGCAAT